TTAATAATTACATTTGTTGATCCTACTTGGACAAGAGGAATATTTGAATGCATGTATTGAATTACCAGTACCATCGGGCAGTGCAAGTTAAGCTAGGGAGGGTTGGATGCATGTGTTGAGGAAGACGTCAACATCTTAGATTATTAGAATCTTAATCGCAAAGAATATTCGATCAAGTCTAGCAAATCAAATAAAAAGAATTAAGTTAATTGTTTTGATTAATTATAATTAATTATTTAAATTTTATTTGAAATTTTTATCTCGAATTGTTTGAATTAATGTTTAAATTTAATTATAAAAATTATTATATATATTAATTCTAATTTCATATTTTTAATTATAATATATATATATATAAATTATAGTGTTATTTAATAAATCAAATATCATTTAAAAATTATAAAATGTATTTATAATTGTTTGAAGAATACATTATAAACAAATATTAACGAAATAAATGAATTAAGAAATTCATATAAAAATTTTATAAAATTGCAGCAATTTTTTTTTGGATAAATATAAAATTAAAACATTAAATTATATAAAAAAATTATTTTGAAAATCGAAATTGATTTTTTTTTTTGAAGAATAGGAATTGAAGTTTATAAAGTACTTCAGAAACATGTGATTTCAATATGATAAAAATGCACTTAAAAAAATAGTGATAGAAATAGTTAGAAGTAAATTCTATCAAATCGTGTTAAACGGATTTAAAATGTTTACGTTAATTAAATTAACATATTATATTTTATTAATTAAATTATATTTACTTTTTTAAAATTAATTTTTTAAAATTTAAATAAAATCAATATTTTAAATTTATCCAATGAATGAGTAAATGCATAAGAGAATTTGTTTACATGTTGTCCAAGATGCTTACGGATTTATTTCTATGTTAAAAATGTGGGGTGTCTTAAAATGATGATTAGAGTCAGAGATGAATCTAGTTGATCCGTTTACTAAAGGTTAAAGTCGGAAATTGGTTCTTGATTCGTCGAAGGGATAGGTTTAAAGCTCATTGATTGAAGAATTCATGATAGATACTCAATTTAGTTATCTAAGTTCAATGTGATCAAACGAAACCATGAAAAAGACTCATAGTGTACATTTCTACCTATCTGTCCCTATTACGAATAATGTACATGCACAAGATGAGTTTAATTGATCTTAAAAAATTCATAGCCCAAACTTTGGGTGGTCTTATTGAGAAAGACTTGATGAATTTATCGATTTTGGTTGAATATATATCCTTAATAAGTTCATAACCTATTGTTGAGTGGGTAACCTTAATCGCAGAAGACTAGATGAACTTACTGCTAGAGGGGATGAGTTTTATTAAAACTCTTAATGAATTCAAACCCAAGAATTTGGGAGTTCCTAGTGAGAAAGACATATTGAATTCATCGATTTTTGAGGTTGAATATTTATTCTTAATGATTTATTATCCTAGAGTCTGGGTGGTTCATTTATAAATGAACTTGAAGAAATTTATCGTATCTATTGTAAGGTTGAGTTGTTGTAAATGCTTTTAATTATTTAATAGCCCGATTTTTGGTGGTTTATGTTGAGACAAACCTATTGAAATAACCTACGTAAGTGAGAAGTAATAGACACCTTCTACAAAAAACGTTGGGTCGTTTTTCTAGTACACTTATTAGAATCCTTAGGAAAGATGGCTAAACATATATATATATACACTCTTGTATATACTCTTTGTAGACACATCAAGAACTTCGGTGGATAAATGAGTTAGTTGTGTATTATAAGTTCACCCTAATTTTAGAAAGTTCAAGATTCATTCACTTATCTAAGAGAAGAATTACATCATCATTATGTACTGGTTCCATATACGTTCACTAGTGTTTAAACAATTAATCTCGCTATTGCTCTTCTCGTATTTTAACTTCAATAATCTCATTTTTATGAACGAATTATTTCCCATTAGTGGGGATCATTGGTTAATGGTAAAAAATGTAACCATCATAATGATATTTAATTATAGTTTTAATAGAATTAAATTGTACATTTGAAATAACATTTTTACCCTTACTATTTAGCCCATAAATAGTGGGTAATTTTCTCTTTTTAGAGTTATCCCAAGCAAATGACATTTGCTTTGAAACACTATTTTTTTTTGTTTTGAGTTGAGAGAAGAGCAGTACCACCAGAGTCCACTCCATCTTTCGAGTGTACAGAATTTGGAGAGTCGTACTAACCTCAGGGGCCATTCGTCTATTGTAGTGATTACACACATTGGGACGAATTTACTTCTAAGACAGTGGATTACCACGATACGGGTAACGTTCTATTTAAATATTTTATTGAATATTTTCGATCAGTGCTAACCCCTCGTTTTATGGCAGTCTATTTTCTAACAAAGATTAAGAAGATTATTACATTATTTTTTGTAAAACTGAAACTAGTGGTCGAATTAATCAGGTCATTAACTTTTGGTTCAATAAATTTCAAAACAATCGATTGAATTGTCGATTTTTGTTGATATTTTTTAATAATTTATAATCCATACAACTTTTAATTTTATCTTATCAATTCATATATTTAATTCATATATTTGTTAATCTAACTCGATTTTAACAACCATATGCAGAAATTTTTACGCAGAGATTTATTTACAGGGATTACTTACCATTGCAGACGCGCATATGTAAACTGCATATGAAGACTGTTCAACTTTGTATTTATTTATTTATTTATTTATTTATACATGCATTGTATTTTATCTTTACTTTTTAATTTTCTGACTGCCGGAGGTATTCCACGAAAGCTGCTCTCAACCTAGCGTTGGGGGCATCCTACTACCTTACCTCCCCTTACCCCATTACATATGAGAATAGAGTTTTGTTGTTGTGTTGTATTAATCAAGTTGATATCGACTTTGATACCAATCAAATAGCATAATAAGTATAACCAAGTCGTGGTAAAAAAAAAAATGGTAAAAAATTGAATTTCAAAGTAAACAGCTCTCCCCCATATTCAAATTGCAATATATTTTTGTTTTAGAGTTTGTGATTCTAGAGCTGCATGCTGTCGTTTCACACTAACTTTTTTGAATGATAGATGGGAACGCTCCGAATTTTATATTTACACAAAGCTAAAACTTTGAGGTCGATCGAGTCTCACGGAGAGTATTTTATAATTCGGAGGTCTCTCACAGAAGCTGTTCTCAACCTGGCGCTAGGGACAATTTACTATTTTACCTCCTCTTACCCCATTACATATGGGAATAAGGGTCAACTAATTTTTAAATAACAAACACGAATGTCTTTGATAGACCCCATGCTATGCGATGATTATTCCAAAGTATATTATATGATTGAATTCTGATTATTTGGTTTTCAAAAACGACTAATATTAAACAGTTTCTGTATGTTTGTTGAGATAAAAAAAATAGTTGCAGTAGGTTTTACTGTTCATTTTTTTATTATTGTCAATCAATTATTTAGGAAAACAGAAATAGAGAATATATAAACATATGATGAATTTTAATTCAATTTAATTTGATTCGATATTCAAATTTAATGGAATTGTTTATTACTTTTTTAAGATTTATAGATGATTAATTAGGTATTTTCCTTTTTAATTACATTTAGAAAATAATTAAATCAGAGGATGGTGCCAAAAAAATGATTTTTGGGCAGATATAGTATCATAATGAATAATGAGAAATATGATGTAGAAATTGAGCACTTGACCTAGTCCGTGGAAATGGAGAATTATAAGAAGAACCAGGAACGGTACTTCCACACGCTTTGTTACTTTTGAACAAGGAGAAGAACCTAAGACCCACATATTTAGAGCCTTTGTTCATTCTAATAATTACTTGAAATTTCTTGGAACTTCCTTTGCAGTAACGTGCCGGGCATCACATAGTTTTGTAAACTGAATTTAAAAAAAAAAAATCTAAATTATGGGTCCAAGTTTTAATTTAAATATATATTTTATATTAATTTAATCTCAAAATCGAACTAACATATATGCTTTTATCTATAATGAACATGGTAATAAATAGCTCATTTTAAAATTCAGAAGAAGTGGGATTAAGTAACCTAATGAAGGGACTTTGGGTGGAGTTTTTAAACCTCTTTTGTCCCTTAAAACTAAGTCATAAGAATAGTATATTGCAGTTCCCAACTTCTCAGTCATCTCCTTACTTGTGAACGTGCGAGTCTTCATCAAGTGAGAAATTTATGTATATTTATGAATTTCTAATTCTGAATAAAATACACAAATCATCATTCGAGTTTATTTTCACCATTAAATTTAAAAACTTGCTTATTTTCTCTCAATTGTAGATATTAAATTTTATTACAATTATAGAAAGTAAAAATCTTTAAAATGTGAAGAGGGGCAACTCGTGTTTTTGGGGGTGGATTTGGATTCAAGATGGAATCAGTCAAATTGAAGAGGACAAAAGTCTTCAAAGTGTCAAAGGAACAGCTAGTGTCATTAATCAACCGTCCTTTAATAAGACTATGACTATTTGTTTGTGAGATAAATATCAAAATATCACAAAGTACGTATGTGCCTCACATGGGTGGATCCATCCATCCAACATCATCGTAAACGAGGGGGTTAAACATGATGAACCCAAAAAACTTCCCCTTTCACTACTTTATCGACTAAAATTAACAGTTTAATAAGTGATTTAATAGGTAATTTAAATTCAAACAATTATATTAGAAACAACGCGGAAGAAGAAGATTTTTCAATATTCCCCACTTTCCACTCTCTTTTTATTTTCTCTCAAATTGATGTTGTAGGTTGGTTTGAATTGGTCAGCAGCTCAGCCCTTTTTATCCACACTATAATGCTCGTACTTGTCCACCCCCATGGTGACCACACAATTTTCCAACTCAATTTCCCACCTCTTTCCACCTCATTTCTTTCCAATATCCTCCTCCCTTCCTCGCCTTCTTCTTCTTCTTCTTGTCTCTTACAAAACCCTCATTTTACATGCATAGGTTCACTATCTTCACCTCTCCTTGTTGATTTATATGTCTCCCTCTCTGCCTAATTACTTAACCATCATTGTGGGTTTTCATTTCTGAGTGTAATCTGGACTTTGTTTTCTAAGAGAAACTATCACTGCATATTTGGGTACATTTGTTTTGTTTTTTGTGGAGGAAGCAATGGATTGGGAGCTAAAGTCTCTTTTGAATGAGCTAAAAGAAGGGAGAGAGGTGACTAATCAGCTCATGAAGCATCTCCGTCCGTCGTCGTCTCACCAAACACGCCAATTCTTACTCGATAAAATACTTTGTTCCTACGAGAAAGCTCTTTCGATTCTGAATTGGAATGGTTTCGTCGTTGAAACTAAGCCCTCGGTTACAGCATTCGAATCCTCTCCTTCCATTGACCACAGCAGCGAGGTCTCTGATATAAAAGATGTGTTGAAAAAGAGGAAGACATCATCCGGGGGGACCGAGCAAGTTCGGGTTTGCTCCGGCAAGTCATTAGACAATCCTCTCGACGATGGATATTGCTGGCGTAAATATGGGCAGAAAGCTATTCTTGGATCAAATTTCCCAAGGTGAGACATTTTCTTTTACTATCCCAAGAGGCTGTTAAGTATCGATAAAGACACATTACCCTGTTTTTTTATCTGCTTGGAGCTTTGTCTAGTACACGAAGAATCCTACTTTTGTGTTTTATATATAGTTTTATAACATTCAATCTTGCACGTTCTATTTCAGGGGATATTATCGATGCACTCATCGTCACTCACAAGGTTGTTTAGCCATTAAACAAGTTCAAAGATCAGACAACGACCCTTCGAACTTTGAGGTTAAATATAAAGGAAGGCATACTTGTAACCAAGCCTCTCACTCCGCGGCTACGTTTGTACCTGTGTTGCCGGAGTCCAAAGAGAAAGGGAATCACTCACGAAAAAGGCCGTACCAGCTCGAAAAGAAACAGGAGCAGGTGCGACATATCTTTTCGAGTTTCGAATCGGGCCTTAAGGTGAAAACAGAGGACTTGGACAATAGGGAAGACATTTTCCCTTCGTTTTCATTCCCTGTCGAATCGGAACAAGTTAAAAGCTGCTTGTTCGTTGAGGCCCTGATGGAAAACGACATCATGGGGAACCTTTCTCCGGCATTTGTGTCACCTGCGACATCCGACTCGAACTATTTTTCGGTGTCATCGTGCCACATGGGAAGCTTTGAATCTGATCTTACGGATATCATCTCTGACCCGACTTCGGTTACCAATTCACCGATCGGAGACATTGATATCTCATCACTTGATAATTTGGAATTTGATCCAAGCTTCCCGTTTGATAACCCTGAATTCTTCTCTTAAATTTCCACCCCATTAGAGGAGTAATTTGTATTCCTCCATCCGTGTAAACTCTCCTAAATCTTCAATTTACATGTGATAGGGATGTTTCGTTGGTAAATCTGTGAACTAGCCTAACAAATCAATAGTTTATTGATCCATCTTTAAAACAGAAGAATTTCAATTCAGCCTTGCTTTTTGTTCAAACAATTAACAAGAATTTCAACTTGGACACGTATTCCTTAAAAATTCTGATGGTTTGCATATGCCTGCAATATATATCTCAGATTAATTGCATGCTATTTATCTCCATGGATGTTTAATGCGATGGAAGACTCCACATTACTCTTCATCCCTGTAATTGCAGCCTCAGTTATATCTTTGAACTATATATCAAGTTAGTTTGAACTATATATATCAAGTTAGTTTGAGTGAAGAGCATCAAATTAAAGGTTTGGAAAAATATTTAATATATAATAGATATGGTGATCTATCACTTAAGTAATACAGTATGAATAAAATAAATAAAAACAATTGAATCCGTTAACCAAAGCACTTTGAGTTCATGCATTTCGTCTTCCTAGTTGCATAAAGATGAAAAAGCCCAAATAAATATTGCAGCAAAAGAGATACATACATCAACGGAGATCTTATCATTTGCTCGTTAACCAAAGGAAAGGCGGCTCCACTCAATTTCAAAGATACATCTTCTATAATAGGAAACAAAAAGGTTGTCGAAGATCAAGATTTTGTGCCATTGAAGTTCTCATCCCAGTTGTAGTGATTGCTGCAGTTGGATTCTTTTTGATTCCGATTATAGAAAATTATCTTTGAAATTGATTTGCCATGATAATAGCCGAAGATGGGACCTTTCCAAATCAAACCCGGAATTTTAAATCAAGAACTAAAGACCACCCAAGAAAGAAGAAAACAAATATGAAGCTCTATCGATTTTCCTCCAAAACATAACAACTCCACAAGGAAACAACTTTATATAATTTCCAGTACCTCAAGATCAAGACCAGATGATTTAGTCAGCATCCAACTGAAACAAGTCTGAAAGGAGTTCAGACATTTCAATGTCTACTGGTAGCGGTTTCTAGAGTGAGAATTTGCTCTCCCTTCTCTCTAGGTTTCCTTTCGGAGATGGGTCATCGGTTGGTTTTAGCGGTTTCTTCCATGTATTTCCATGGATTCCTGGTTGTCGAGATCCATTTATGGAGCTCAAAACGGTTTATTGTCCATAAAGTCCGGTTGTTTCCTTATCAAGTTCGTTGTTTATTCGGACTGGATAGTTCAAGTGTCAAAAATCATTCTCGGTGTTCTTTCTTAGTGGAGGAAGATGAAGGTAAGAGTATTCTATATTATCATTACGGCCCCTTACTCGTGATTTATGTTTTGCTGGATCTTCTTGAAAGTTGTTGGCGACGGAATGATCTAAAGAGAGGAAGTGTGGCTTATGCGAACAATTGTATTTCTACTATTAGGAAAGGGTTCGTTAAGGGAGGAAAGGAGGATTGGATGAAAGGAAATGGAGGATTTCATAGTTCAAACGGTCGGGAAAAATGGGCCTCAAGTCAAGGAGAACGGTGGATCATTGAGCCGGAGATATTAACAGGTTCCGGTAAGGGGAAAGAAGAAGATGGTCGGAGTTGGTGTTCCAAAAGTAGAAGGGAAGAAATTGGAAAGTTCAAAGGCTGTTACACGGTTGCAAATGATGAAGTACGGACTGGACAGTGGATAAGGAGTTGGTTTGATAAAGTTAAGATGTCCATTAAGGGAGATAAAGTAAGGTGTTGGGATTATGGGAATTATTTTAGAGGGATTGATCAAACAAGTAAAGTTGGGGAAGTCTCGATTGAAGAGTCAAGTCTAAAGGCCTCTAATGATAGGGTAGTAGCTTGTTTTTGGGAAGTGTATTGGAAGTATTTTAATGGAAAGATCTAAGGATATCTAAGTTTAAGATGTGGTCTTGCCGTGTGGAAGATCAAGTTATTTATGGACTCGATGGCAGCAGGTTGTACAGCAGGAAATCTTTGTTCAAAGCGGTATGGGACTGGACTACCTGATGTTCTGCCCTGTGTAGTCAGCAGGTGAGATCGGGTGGGATCAGACGTGGGCCGAGAGATTTATGTCAAGTCAGATTGAGCATGTTGGTAGATCCAGCAGTCACTGTACGGACAGTGTCTGCTGTCACTGTATGAACTGGCATAGAGGGTGGAAAATCAGTGTGAGATTGAGTATATTCGGGGATAGGACAGCTTTAATTAATTGTTGTATGGTTGGTATTTTTGAGGGGATATTTTATTGTAAAGATATTATTTAGGGTTAGTGGATTATGTAAGTGGGGAAGGTCATATCCGATACCTTCTAGTCAAGTCGGTGGGGTTGTTAGTCGGGAGAGGGTAAGGAGAGAGGGGTTTGTTTTTACTCTTCACACTTTCAAAAGAATTCTTTCTATCTTTTTCTTTGATTTTCGGAGGCTCTCCTTTGAAGTGTTGGCTAACCAAAAAGGCGCAAGAGTGATATTTTGTTTTCTCCTTCATTTTCCCATTATACTAGTATAATGTCTCAGGAGGTTGCGGACCTTATGAAGTATTTGAGCTTCACGGAGGAGGAGTTGGAGGATATCATTCCACCGCGGGTCATTACTGAAGATGATGTGGTTGAAATGGATAAGTGGATTATTGCGCGGATAATTGGCTACAAGAGAGTTGATAGCGAGGTGGTGCTGCGGGTCTTCCGGTCCATCTGGGGTCATTCTAGACTCTTGGATTCTAGCATTTTGAAGGACAATATGTTCCTTTTTAAGTTCAAAACGCTCTCGGATAAACAAGCGATTATGAAATACACCCCATGGAGTTTTGAAGGAACTCTATTGGCCATTGCACACTTTGATCCTACTCTAAGCCTTGAAGAATTCGATTTAGGCCCCTTGTTGTGTGGGTAAGAATTTATGAGCTCCCTTTGGGGCTAATGCAGATTGAGACAGCTGAGAAGATCGGCAACATAATAGGAAAGACTATTGCTATTGATACTAGGTCAGAAGATGGTAGAATGGGTGACTACCTTCGAGTGCGAGTGGAGATTGACTACACCAAGCCGTTGCGTAGGTGTGCCAAGATGGGGGTGCTTGCAAATGGGCAACCAAGGAAGTGCTTGCTCAAGTATGAACGGCTACCTTCGTTTTGCCATCGGTGTGGTGTTGTTGGCCATGTGCTCATTGAATGTCCGGGCTTTCGGAACAGTTACAACAGTCGCTCTAGGTTGTGGAATGGCTCAGAGTGTCACCTAGAAGAGAATAACAATAGAAGAAGAGAATGAATTATTTATGTTGAAGGGGAGAACAATGGATGGTCTATGACAAGCTCGGCGAGCAGTCCGATTTCAGACCGGGTTACGAGGATTCCCCGAGGGAGACCGTGGATGCCGGGACATGACCTGCTGTAGTCATCCAATTCTAATCAAGAAGACAATTCATATCCATCTGACCCCACATGACCTGATAGCTCTCTCCCTCGAACATTTCCGGAGGTTTTTATTACTCGCGAACGCATGTTATTGGAGGAGCAACAAGCTGACCGAGAATCGAGTGTGAGGGTTGAGGTCGGTTCTTCAAGTTCGGGGAAGAGAAAGATCGGGGAGCCAAACAAAGGAAAAAATGAAGGTTAAACGAGTGAATCGCCAGGTAGTGCATATTTCGGACTCTACCTTGAACTCTAAGGTGGGTACTAGTGTGGAGGAAGACCCAAGTGAGTTACCGGAGGAACGTGCAGGTGATGTTGTGGTAGCGGCGGAGGCTCAACCCCGCCAATCGCCATGACGATCTTATGCTGAAACTGTCGAGGGCTTGGGAATCCTGCGATAGTTCGAGAGCTTAGGAGGTTGATCTCCGAAAAGGTCCCAGGGGTGGTTTGTTTCTGAAACGAAGTTGCGGAAGAATAAGGTGGAGGCCTTTCGTATTGCTACAAAGATGTCCGGTTGTTTCTCAGTGGAAAGAGCGGATGAATGTGTGGGCCTAATGATGCTTTGGAAGGAAGGGATTGATATTTCTCTCTTAAGCTTCTCCAATCTTCATATCGATATGGAAGTCTTGTAGAAAGAGCAAAGATTCTATTTTACGGGATTTTATGTGCGTAGCGCTTGGTCGGACAAGAAGCATAATTGGGAGCTTATTTCTCATTTGGCTTATATTTCCTCACTCCCTTGGTGTTTGGGAGGTGATTTTAATGAAATTATTCACCCGGATGAAAAGAGATGAGGTAGGAAACCGGTGAGGGTTCATATGGAAGAGTTCCAACGATGTCTTTGTGGAGCGGATTTGTGGGACATTCGGCCTAGTATTGGGTAGTTTTCTTGGGCTAGTGGTAGTCGAGCCAAGTCTTTTGTATGTGAAAGAATTGATAGATTTGTGGTGAAAAATGACTGGAGGCTCTTGTTCCCGGAGTGTTCCGTGGTTACGATTTCGACAACCATGTCTGACCATTCTACGATTTCTTTGAGTTTGGAGGGCACTTTCTCGTGTTGCCCCACTAGGAGAGAATACTTCAAGTTGATGTGTGTTAGGCTAATGAAGCTCAATGCCAACAAATTGTTCAAAATGTTTGGGAGAATTATGATATCCTTTCCTCGGTTAAGGTGGGGAAGTTAGGGGAAAGGCTCGGTTCGTGGCAACGGGCAAGAATGGGTCAAGCGAAGAGGGATGAGAGACGCATTAGAAGCCATATTCTGCGGATTGATTCGGGGCCAGCTTCGGATGAGTCCTGCGAACAACGTAAGTAAGCTTTGGTGGAGCTGAAGGATATCATGGATAAGGATGAAATGTTTTAGCTGTATAGATCTCGTGTTGCTTGGCTCAAAGGATGGGGATCGTAACTCTACTTTTTTCCATGCTAGAGCAAATGGGCGTCGCAAAAAGAATTGGATTGAGGGGTTGGAGAGTGAAGGGGGTTTGGTGTGATAATTGGAGGATATATTTGGTGTTGCAACAAGGTACTTTTCCTCTCTCTTTAGGTCTTCCGAAGCGGCACCTGACGAGGAGATCCTTCAAGCAATTGCTCGATGTATTTCGCCTAGTATAATAAGGTGCTTTGCCGGAGCTTTACCGTTGAGGAAGTTAACATTGCCTTCTCACAGGTTAACCCTTCAAAAGCCCCAGGTTTTGATGACCTTTCAGGTCAATTTTTTT